TCTAGTGATCCCAGATCGCAGGAGGAGATGTTCTGGGGAGGTAAGATGTGATAATAATATATTTTGATATTTAATTATTTTAATTCCAGGTTGTGTTGTACTTGTATTTTCACGTTAAATATGCGTACTTGTAATTTTTTAATTTGTTGTATAATTGCAGTTGGAAGAACGGTACAAGCTGGGTTTTTTTTCCTTTTTCACAATGAAGTCACAGAAAATTGTCTAATGAAAAGAATAATATCTAATGTTTTTTTTCTCCGATAGTGCTCTGAGTATTTCTTTAATAATGTGCTATACACTCAAGTCCGCCTGGTGTCAGTGCTGCATTAATGTTGCGAGAGAACCCATCTGCTTGTGATGACGTGAAAGGCATTGTTCCTCAATTGGAGAGGCTTGTGTGAGCGTGCTGTTCAGAGGAAAGGCGCACGGACATAATTACGCTGGTGTTAAAGCGCAGGACCATATTTTGGGTTAGATTTCCAGGTCTGTACGACACATGAAATGCACGTCATTCAATGTGCTGTTTAGCTGTTGGACAAATAATTTCAATATTCGCGATGGGGGACGGAAGACAACGACGCAAACTGGAGTGTTGGTGGTTTGTTCTGTGCCTCTTTTTTCTATTTTGCGTCGAACAGCAGGTTTCAGCTCAGATAAGATACTCTGTTCCAGAGGAGATCAAAGAGGGAGCCGTTGTAGGAAATATTGCAAAGGATTTGGGTCTTGATGTCATTACATTGGTGGACAGGCGATTTCGTATCGTTTCTGGATCTAAGGATGCTCCTTTTCAGGTAAATCTGAACAATGGTATGTTCTATGTTCAAAACAGAATCGACAGAGAAGAGCTTTGTGCCGACAATAATGTCTGCCAAGTGAATCTGAAAATTGCTCTCGAAAATCCCCTCGAAATTCATTATGTTGGCGTTGAGATTACGGATATCAACGATCATGCACCTGTTTTCCCCGAGAAAGAACAGAATTTAAAGATAGCAGAAAATACTTTAACTGGAGCTGATTTTCAGTTGCTCGCAGCTCGCGACCCCGATTCTGGAGCAAATTCACTTCGTACATACAAACTGAGTCATAACGAACATTTTGAATTGGAAATTAGAGATGGCGGAGAAGACAACAAGATCCCTATTCTTAAACTGCAGAGAGCTCTTGATAGGGAGCGGCATAGTAAGCACCACTTAGTGTTAACCGCTCTCGATGGTGGAAATCCACAGAAATCAGGCATTATGAACATTGCCATAAATGTAATTGATATTAATGATAACAGACCTGTGTTTAGTAAAGATGTTTACTCGGTTACAATTACTGAAAATATTCCTGTAGGGAGTCTCATATTACAAGTGAATGCCACAGACGCAGATCTGGGAAAGAATGGTGATATAATATATTCATTTGCGAGCAACTTAAAGAAAAAGGTGTACGATACATTTGAAATAGACAAGAATACAGGTGAAATTCGTGTTATAGGTGATGTTGATCACGAAGACACAGAAGTATACAGAGCTGACGTCACAGCGTCAGACAGCGCAGAGCCTCCCATGACTACAACCTGTAGAGTAGTCATAAAAGTTACAGACGTAAATGATAATAAACCAGAAATAGAGGTCACCTCTCTATCCAATCTAGTACCCGAGGATTCTAAATCAGGAACTGTTATTTCACTGATTAGTGTATCAGATAAAGACTCGGGTGCTAACGGAAAAATAGTCTGCAGTCTTTCTGAGGGTACTCCGTTTGAGCTAAAACCTTCTTTTCAGGAAAATATTTATTCGCTTGTGACGCAAAAGGCTTTAGATCGGGAGTTGGTTGCTCATTATGACATTTTATTAACTGTTACTGATCTAGGGCAGCCTCCTTTGTCCTCAGTAAAGACTTTAAGCATTGAGGTTTCAGATGTGAATGATCATAAACCAGAATTTCCGCAGAATCCTCTCGAGCTTTTCATATTCGAAAATAATCCGCCCGGCGCGTCAGTTTTTTCCATTAGCGCACTTGACAACGACATGAACGACAATGCTGT